CCCTTGTTGATGGAGACCTCTTGCAAGTTTTCCCACTTAAAATGTTTAGATTTGTGGTTGATTTTAGATGACAAAGAAGTTGACAATATTCTGTCTTTGGCCTCACTTTTGAGGGCTGCTCCTTTCGTTGAAACGTTAGGGATGAATGTGAGCATAGTACTCCTATCTCCTACAACGACCATCACTTTGCTATAAGTAGATTGACTCGTTAACCATGAATTATGCCTATGCTTACCATGTTTTCTCCCTCAAACTTTTGCAGTTTCGTGTTTTTGGTGTCCCACATCATGTCTCAGAGCCTGTTAAAAGCATTACCAGGTGTCCACATAATCATCTAAAGAACCTGCATATTACAGGATTTTCTGGAACAACAACACAACTTGAATTTCTAGTGCATGTTGTTGAAAGTGCCCATGCCCTGGAGATTTTGACGATTAATGGACCTAACATAGCTCGCCGAGATGATAAATGGCTAATAAGATTCCGTTCCCTAGTTCAAGAATTGGAGAGGAAATATCTTCATGAAATAATTTCACCAAATGTGAAGCTCTCAATTTTCCCCCGGAATTATAGAAATGAAATGAAAAACAGTTAACAGTAAAAATAGGGATCTGTTCATCTCCTCGATGCTAATCAAGACTAACGGGATCTTCGGATTCTCCAGTTATTAATAAAAAAAGAAAAGAAGTCCACCCTTTCCTCCTCCCTGTAGCCCTGACCGACCTCCAGTGGGGACCGGATCGGACCGAGGCTCTGAAATACTCCCTCCGTTCCAAAATATAGCGCGCCCATGCTTTTCGAGGTTCAACTTTGACCATAAATTTAACTCACGAGACCGACTGCGGCGGGATCAAAAATTATATAATTAAAAACTTTTTTTGAATACGAATTCATTGGTATAATTTTTTCGCCCGCCGCAGTCGGTCTTGTTGATTAAATTAATGGTCAAAGTTGAAGCACGGAAACCGAGGACGCGCTATATTTTGGAACGGAGGGAGTACCACCCTCCGTGACCTAGAGCTGCCTCCGTGCCGTAGGCTAGCGTAGCGCCACCGCGGACGCCTCAACCCCAGCCCCCAAACTCATCTGCCGCGTCGCCGCCCATCGCCGTTCCGTTCAGCCGTCGCGCCGCTGCTGTCTCAACAGCGCCCCCAATCTTTGCCAGTGGTAAGTTTTCTTGTCACCCAGTGATGCGCTAACTGTCAGCCCCCACTGAATCCCACGAATTTCAGTCTTAGTGTGCCGGTGCCATCTAGATCCGCCCTGCACCCTCTCGCCCCCACAAACACCCAAACCCATCCTCTGATCTATCCCCGAAATCATAGTTAATGTGGTAAAATTTAACAAAAGTGACCTTTCGTTTTATAGTTCTGCTAGAAATAGAGCTCGTTTATTTGTTTGTCAAGGAAAAGTTTACAACTTCCACTAAAAAAACACAACTTTATGGACCGACTGTTCTATCTGGTTATGAGGGATATTAGAAACTAGAGATGGTATTGAATACAGCAACACTCTGTTATGCAGTTCACATGTTCGTTTTGTAGTTTTGCTAGAAATAGAGCTGGTGTTTTTATCTGGCATGAGGGATAGTAGAATACAATAACACTCTGTTCTGCAGTTCACATGTGTTCTGGCCTTCCATGTTCGTTTCCTCGATCTGTTCATACTTAACCTGGCATCATTTGTGTGCAGAATCAAAATGGGCAGCGATCTAACACACACGAGAAAAAGAATGAGGCGTTACTACCACGGACCAGTCATTAAGAAAACGAGAGCAAAGGTTCAGTTTGCAGACCTTCCCGATGATCTGCTGTCTACGATTCTATCAAAATTGCCACTGAAGGAAGCTGCAAGAACCGTCATTCTGTCAAGTAAATGGAACGACGTGTGGAGAGTTTGCCCCAAACTGAGATTTGATGGCTTCACAGTGTGCAGTGACAGCGTGTTTGGGGGAGAACAGTACACTCAGAAATTCATTGACAATGTTAATGCAGTCATGCAGAAGCATCAGTGCATGGTCGTTGAAGAGCTCGTGATCAAATTTGGGTTTGACAGCAGGGTACTGGGTCATATCAACACGTGGGTTGCTTTTGCCGTTTCATCACGGATGGAGAGCCTTGCCCTTGATTTAGTGCCAGCCAACTCCCCGGGCCGTACTGATCAGTACAGATTTCCGGTTGAGCTGTTGGACGATGGAAGCATATTTCGGCTTCGTCATCTTCAACTTAGCTTCGCAAGTCTTGAACTACCCCCTCAATTCAGTGGTTTCCCTAATCTGAGAACACTTGATTTGCACTTGCTACAAGTCACTCGAAATGATCTTCAAGATATGCTGTCAAATTGCATCAATCTTGAGTGGTTCAGTATGGTTAGATGCCATTTGAATGATGAACTGACGGTAGCACGTCCGTTGTCAAACCTGAGATACCTACGTGTTGCACACTGCAAGATAACCAGGATAGTACTCCATGCAGTGGAACTCAAAACTTTCTTGTTCTATGGGCGTCTGTATCCTATTGACCTTGGGCATACTCCCAAACTGAAGCATACATTTCTTAATATCTATTCCCTGTTAACTGTTGAGCATGCTTTGACTGTGCTTCCCAAAGTGCTTCCAAGTGTTCAAGATCTGACATTGCATGCTCATTTTACACTTAAGGTCTGTTGTTTCACACTTATATTTTATCACATTTCTCCCCCTCTTATTTTTGACCATTCACTACCTATTTTTCAGATGCCTTTGTTGATGGAAAATCCATGCAAATTTTCCCAGTTGAAATATTTACATTTGAAGCTGTCAATTGGTCATAGGGAAGCTGGCAAGATTCTATCTTTGGCCTCTTTTCTGAGGGCTGCTCCTTCTGTTGAAAAGTTAGAAATGCATGTGAGTATACTCCTATCTCGTAGCCTTCTCTTTGCACAACTTGATCGATTATCGAACCATGAATCGTGCCTCTGCTTGAGCATATTTCCTCTGTCAAACTTTTGCAGTTTAGTGTTTTGGCATTCGCACATTGTGTCTCGGAGCCTATCAAGAGCCTTCCATGGTGTCCACATAGTTATCTGAAGAACCTGTGTATTACAGGATTTTCTGGAACAACAGGACAACTTGAATTTCTGGTGCATGTTGTTGAAAATGCCCCTGCTCTGAAGATATTGACGATTAAAGGAGCTGACTCGAGTGGCCGTGATCTCGATAATGAAGGGAAAAGAAGATTTACTTTGAAGTTTCGCGAATTGGAGAGGAAATACCTTCATGGGATAATTTCACCAAATGTGGAGCTCCGTATTATTTAAGTGTGCCAGACATGTAGCTGCTCTTGTACAAGCAATGGGCTGCTGTTCCATTTGCCCACTTTATTTTGACTTGAAGTTAAGGTACTTGTATGCATATAAACGTATATTCCAAAGGAAAACATCCACTTTACCCACTGATCTATTTTTACACTCCAATTTTCTTGGCCCAAATCATTTCCCAACTTAATATTTGTTGTCCACTTAACTGATTAACCCCTAAACCAGGATTTGCGCTGTCATGTCTGCGATTTCCCAACAAAACTAAACCAGGATTTGTGCTGTCATGTCTGGGATTTCCTGACAAAACTCATGAGGCGGACATATTAATAATCTTGGCCTTGTACGTTTTTTAGATCCTCCTCTGTCGGTAAGCCGCTCCGAGGCTTCGACCTGCAAGAAGCAGAGATGTTTCCCATGATGGCGACGGAATGGCAGATGCAACGTCGTTGCTGATGACTGGTGAAACTTCTTGCTGATTGCAGTGTGCAGATCTGTCCAGGTGAGTCAACTCTTTCGTCTATCATTCTCTGGCTGAGTTACCATTTAGTTTCCACTTGATTTCTTTCTTGGCTTGTGCGCATGTACGTGGTTACGGCTTTTGATTTTTGTCCGGCTTTCAAGTACTAGTTAGGAAGCGCGCTGTCCGCACATTACCTGTTAGGACATATATATTATAAGCCTGTTCGGTTCCTCTCCACTCCCTCGACTACGCTCCTGGAGCGGACCTGTCTGCAGCTTATTTTCATGGAGCGGGTAAAACCGAGCTCCACAGCTCTGCGGAGTCAGAAATATTGGAGCGGAGTGGAGAGAATCCGAACAGGGCCTATATATACCACATTTAAACATTTACTTTGCTCTAACACACAAGAAAAATGGTCATAGCAGCCTACTTATAACAAATTGTTCTAAGTGAAGTGTAAACATAGAACTGCACAGATGATAAGAAAGAACAGGTACAGTACTTTCAGCAAGTCGTATGCACATGATTGCCAAATGTGTACTGACTACTGTATCCTTCATTGCTAAACCAGGAAGCCGCTCGATCCTGGCAAACACAACGAACACAGCACAATAAAATCAACAAGTGAAAGGAACACATCGTGTGTCAAGCACTTTATTACCTGAGCTCGTAATTCGACAGAAGACTTGAACGTCTACATAAAACCAGCTTACATAAGGAGGAAATGACACACATCATGCCTTGAACACTTTATTGCATAAACTCGCCATTTGATACAAGACCATTTATTATCCACTTTTCAGATGCCCTTGTTGATGGAAACCACTTGCAAGTTTTTCCACTTAAAATGTTCAGATTTGTGGTTGATTTTAGATCATAAAGAAGCTGGCAACATTCTGTCTTTGGCCTCTTTTTTTGTGGGCTGCTCCATCTGTTGAAAAGTTATAAATGCATGTGAGTATACTCCTATCTCCTAGCCTTCTCTTTTGCTACAAGTCGATCGACTAGCGAACCATGAATTATGCCTCTGCTTATCATGCTTTCTCTGTCAAACTTTTGCAGTTTACTGTTTTTGATTTCGCACATTGTGTCTCGAAGCCTATCAAGAGCCCTCACGGTGTGCACGTCGTTATCTGAACAACCTGCATATTACAGGATTTTCAGGAACAACAGGACAACTTGAATTTCTGGTGCACGTTGTTCAAAATGCCCCTGCCCTGAAGATCTTGACGATCAAAGGGGCTGACTTGACTGGTTGTGATCTCAATCAAGAAGGGAAAGGCAATTATTTTTTCAGTTTCGAGAATTGGATAATTTCACCAAATGTTGAGCTGCGTATTATTTAACTGTATGCCAGACATGTAGCGGCTCTTGTACATGCAACGGGTTGCTGTTTTGTAATTTCCCTCCCTTTTTGATTGGAACACAAGGTACTTGTCTGCATGTAAACATATAGTATCTTCTGGGTCCTCATATTTAGTAGTATGATTGAGAGAAAGTCACCTCTCATTCCTGTGGACTGTTATCTCACAGAGCTTGAGCTTAAATGCTTCAGCTGGGAATTATTTAGATGTATAAGAAATTATTGCGTTCTGATGATAATTTTGCACACGAAGTGAAGTATGTGCTCCCCCGAATTGAGCAGATGATGATTTCATGAACTGAAAATTTAAAGTATATTTACTGAATCCTGAACTACAACTGAATTTCCGTTTCTCGAGCATATTGAACAGAAAATTCCAACAAAATTTCAGCACCAAAGAATTAAGAAAACTAGAAACAGGGTAAATCACTCGTGTGGTAACCATGGGCAATGTAAAAGACTCTTCAGCCGCTGGAGGCGTTCGGTGGCCTTGTCAATTTCTTTCATCAGCCAGGTTGCCTGATCTACTTTAGTGGAGAGGATCAGTGGATCATCAAGGGGAACCTGATTGTGGAGAAGAATTTGGTTGATTTCCATAGCATCAGCGAGGGACATCCCAACCCAGATGCCCACGGCAATTGCGTCATTGTCGGAGGCGGCGATGACCGCCGAGAGCGCTTCCTCCGGGGTGCTGACGATTAGCACGTAAGGCGAAGAAGCCGAAAGCAGAGAGGTCGGCGGAGGCGGCGTCGGCCCATGTCTGGACAGCGGAAGTGGAGGATGTATTGGAAATATTAGCACTTTTTTTTTGCGGGGGAGAAAATATTAGCACTTTCCTGATTAGACTAATCCACAAGTATACAGCAAGCATGGCACAAAAAGTATGCATCTCATAGCTATACCTAAACATATTAGCACGTACAGAACATAGAAGCGAACCATCTATGAGCAGCACAAATACGGTTAGTATAAGTACGAGTAAACGAGAGATAAACATATCATACCCTCAAGTGTATCATGAAAGTTTGTCACGAGCCGTCGGATATTCATCACACGCACGCATGTCTCTTTGCGACTCCCGATTCAGGATTCGATCCTTGTACCTTTTACAAGGTAACCCGCTAACCAACCACCTCGCCTACGTTCCTTTCTTGTAAAAATGAAAGCAAATAGGCTTTTTAACCTGTCTCCTTTTCTATGTTTGCACAGAAGTAAATGCAATATCCGATCTTTTTCGCACTTGAGTAGATTATTTTACCAACTCGTCTCGAGTTGATGACACCATGGTAATTTTGGCGGGGGAGGTTGATGAAATATATCGTTGGTAATTTTTGTGTGTGTATAGCATGGTAACTCACAAATCACATACTGATAACTTATGTACTCGGTACTGATTACTTTGGCAATCGGGAGGGAGGCGTTGATGAAATATCCCGGGTCACTTTTGTGTGAATATCATGATAACTCACACATCACATACCTGATAAACTTATGCACCTCGATCCTGGTAACTTTGAGGGAAGTGGTGTTGATGAAATATCCCCAGTTACTCTGATGTGAACAACATGATAACTCAGACATCAGAGACCCGATAACTTATGCACCCCGGTCCTGTTAACTTTGGCGAGAAGGGGTGCTGAAATATACCCTCGATAATTTACGCACCGCAAACATGATAACTTTTCCCTCCGCCGGAGGGAGGGGTTTTGATGAAATATACCCTCGATAACTTTTGTGTAAACATGATGATAGTTTACGCATCACTGTCCTGATAACTTCTATGCAAATAACATGATAACTCATACATCGTAGACATGATAAATTATGTATCCAGTTCTGGTAAATTTGTCGGCGGGGGTAGGGGTGGGGGGAGTCGTTGAAACATACCACTGTAACTTCTATGCAAATAACATGATAAATCACACATCGTAGACATGATAAATTATGTATCCAGTCCTGGTAACTTTGTCGGTGGGGATAGGGATGGGAGGAGTTGCTGAACCATACCACGATAGCTCTTATGCAAATAACATGATAACTCACATATCGCAGACTTGATAACTTATGTACCTGATCCTGATAAATATGGCGAGTGTGGCGAGGGGAGGGGGGGGTGATGCCCCGCTAATTTCTGTGTAAATAACATGGTAATTGAAACATACAAAATTGATAACTCCCATACAAACGCCACTGTAACTTTTGACCTGAAACTTTTTTGTTGAAAAACATACATCCAATAATTTCTGTGTAAATAACATGATGATGTATCATCGCAGACTTGATAACTAATATCTTACGTTTAAACACCATGGTGTCTTTCATCCAAGGGAAAAAAGTTTTTTGAAACATTTCACTGGTAATTTCTATGTTAAATTACCATATTTCCCCATGCTTTTAACTTTCTCGTATTGTAGTTACCAGCCTTATCATGGTATAGTTATCATGTTGCTCAGACCATAGTTATCACGCTGGTCATTGCCAAAGTTACCAAGCCAAACTTTATTTTTCTTCTGATATGGCAGAAATAAGAAAGGTTCAAATAACATTGTCATTCTACAATAGACAACAACAAAAGGTGGGTTAGTTGGTTATTAGGCTCGATAGGTATTACATAGACCTGGGTTTGAATCCTCTTTCAAGCACTTTTATTTTCTTTTCATATTATGTAGCGAAAAACCAGAAAAAACCACTAGCAATTTACTACGGTGGAAAAAAAACACTAGCAATTTACTACGGTTTTTAAGAGAAGGAAAAAAAAATCAGTGAAAGCGAGCGTGGGAAACTGGTCGTGCGTGTCGCTAACGACCAGTCGACTGGTCGTTAGCACAGTCCTATAAAATTTGATGCAAATTCTACATTGTAAAAAAAATCCATTCAAAATTCACGTGAACATTTTACCATGTATAATTGCCTCAAACTTTCATAATACAGGTCACAGGAGGTATGGCATCAGCCGGATTACTCTTGGCAGTACACATATCAGCAACAAAACTGAAATACAAAATTTGCCCCCTAAAAGTTCTTTGAGAGAATGAAATGACATCACCAAGAAGAAGAGAAAGAAAAGAATCAAAGAACAGATCGTCACTATTTACACCGCAATCCCTCGTCTCTATGCACCGGAGTTCGTCTGGAGTCCCTGCTCAGATCACGCCCGGGGGGCTCTCCGGCCGTTTG